GGGCGAGCCTGGCTGAGCTCGCTGCCCTGCCACGTTACCCCGGCGGGCCCGGGAAATCTCCCTGCAAGGGGACAGCCCCCTGCCCTTTCCAGCCAGGGGCGAGCCCCGTTCCCTCAGCAGCAAGCCAGGCACCTGGCAGCTTACGTGAGCCAGGGCTAGGGCTCAGCGTCCCAAGCCTTAGAGCAGGGGTTCCCAAACTGGAGGCGTGAATACATTCCTGGGGGGCATGAGGCAACCCAGCCCCCCATCAAACTCCCCCCCAAGTAAGGGGACAGCCCCCTGCCCTTTCCAGCCAGGGGCGAGCCCCGTTCCCTCAGCAGCAAGCCAGGCACCTGGCAGCTTACGTGAGCCAGGGCTAGGGCTCAGCGTCCCAAGCCTTAGAGCAGGGGTTCCCAAACTGGAGGCGTGAATACATTCCTGGGGGGCATGAGGCAACCCAGCCCCCCATCAAACTCCCCCCCAAGTTTTGCAGCTACTGTTGTTTCTCATCCCCCATCAGTTCCTTCCCCCCCCCCAACAAGTTTTGCTGCTATTTTGGGGGGGAGGAGAAATTCAGGGGGGGCATGAGGCAGCCCAGCACCACCCCCCATCAATCTCCTCCCCAAGTTTTGCTATTTTTTCTCATCCCCCATCAGTTCCTTTCCCCCCCTCCCCAACGAGTTTTGCTATTTTTAAGGGGGGGGGGGGGAGAAAGACTGTGAAGGTTTCTCAAAAATAAAAAGACGGCGTGATGCCAAAAAGTTTGGGAACCACTGCCCTAGAGCCTGGTGTCCCCCCAAAGCCCTGGTAAGCCACTCCCAAGCAGCTGCCCTACACCCTAAGGGACTAATGCTCAGTGGGCCCAGCCTGGCCTGCAGCAGCACCTCCCCAGAAGAGAGAGATCAGCCTAGGGCCCTTGTACTCTGCGCATGATATCCCCTTACTCATAGGCAGATCTGTGCTGATACACCAGGGCCATGTATTAGGTTCCCCTGGCCCTGCCCCTCCTGAGGCAAAGAGAAGCCAGCCCCAGCAGTTCTGCCTGGTCATCACAACCCCCTTCCTACACTAATGGGGCTGGCTCAGCACAGGGCCCCATGGCCTGCCTCCTCCCCTCCCTTCTTGGGGTCTTATTCTACTGCACTAGTGGCACATGGGCCACTGCGCTTCTGAATGCGGGGCTGCTGTTAATAAACTGAATTAAGCTACTGGTAATTCAGACAGCCAGTGTAGAAACTTGGCTACAGAGCAAAGAGCTCTGCTTTGAGATCTCTTGCTGCAACATCCTTTTGCTTCCATTTCCTGCAGCACCAGCCTATTAATAAGACACAGCTCCAGATCAATTTTTCCCACCTTCATATCATTTTAAGTTAGAACTACAGACAGGGAAACCTCTTACCACCGCACCCCGACAAAAACCTGATTGTACAGCATCTCTCCAAACTGAACAGTGCGATAACGTCCTTTTGTTGCCCTCGGCACTACAGGCTGGTTTCTGCCGGGGGCACCTATCCAGCCTCACTAAAGCAGCAACGCAATACTGGAGAGCAGCTAGGCAATCCTAAACTCCAGTATTTACGTGCTGCTAGAGCACTGCTGACATACTTCCACGGTAAAGAGGTCTCCAGGACTTCCAGAACCCCCCCCCCTTTTTTTTAACAATCCCTGCAGGTTGTCATAGCACTTCTAATTTGTCTTACAATGGAGGAAAGAATGCTGAACAAAACAGGAAGCAGGATTAAGTCAAGCCATGTGCAACTGGTATAAGCCAACTGGAGACACAACATTGAAGATGATTTAGTGTATTAAGATGAAGCTATTGCTGATATTGGAGATTAATGAAATATTGAACAATCACATGGCCTGGGATCAGGTCAATGAGCTAAAATAACACAATGTGTTTTGTTTTAGGCAAATTCACCACACCAATACATAAAAACAATTATCTTCGCAGGCTGGAAAAAAGGGTACATGTGACAGCACTACTAAACATATTTAAACATACCTGTTCAACTGACCTAAGAGAGACATGAGAAGGTGGCAGCTTCCACGGCTGACACCCAGAAGCTCCCTTTCTTGTCTATCCTTGAGGTAATGAGGCAGCCCAGCATGGTCTGTATCTCCTTGTCCCTACAAACCATGATGTGCTGCTACATCTCCTCAAAGCCCAACAATGGTGAAATTCCAAATGGTATTTTGATTATTTTAAAACATGATATAAGGGACCGAAGCGCATAACGCAATACATTGAAGACATTCTTAACAATGACATATTACACACAAGTTAAAATGTTCTTCCATTCTGTTCTACCAGAAAGCCTGTAACTAGAAAAGAGAACAAGTAGTTATTTAAGAGCATCAGGACTACAGTCATTAAATAAATAAATAAATAAATAAATAAACAAACAAACCCAAAAACCTAATTCATTTGCCCCAAATACCTAGTGGACTTGCTGCAGTTAACTACATTTTCAGATCAGCCAGGTCTCCTGCTCCTGCTCTGCCCTGTACTACTTGTCTGGCCCTATGAAACAGGCTATTGGGAAATATGAATAGTCTACAGCTTTTCGTGTGGGTACCTTGCATATATGGGGCTCAGTGATAGGGGCATCTTAAAAGCTGATACCTGGGTAAGAAATAGTTATAGTGTTAAAGTGTTTCCCTGAATTATTTCAATTTAGAGAATCCAGATTCCTTCAGACTCACTTTCAGGACATAATTTGAAGCAACAAGTTCTCTCTCAGGTCCATATCACTCAGATTTCCCCTTTGAAATACGAATTATCACAGCTGCCTCTGCAGATGGAGAACATCACACTTTTGGAAAAGGCAAGGGGGGGGAGAAGAGGAGAAGTGTGGAATATGTTTCTTGTGAGGTCCCCAACTTCATAGTGTACAAACTTAAGATGTAATTACAAGTTAGCCTACGCATTAGTACAGATGTATTGAAGATAGAAACACATGTATGTTAAGCTTTTTCACATTTTCACGTGATAAAAAAAGATAGGTGCGATACTAACAGGTATGTATGTTCCTCCTACTCACCTTTTTAGGGCTTGTCATGGGGAAAAAATAGGAACAGTGTTAGAAATATGGCATTAAGATGTCTCCCACCAACAGTATGCTCTCACCTGTGCTAAGCATTCTAAATACATTTTTCAGGTCCATGTTACCCCGCCCCCCTTTAACAGAACTTTAAAATAGGAATGCAAAAGCTCTAATAGTGTGTGCTGAATTCATGCAAATTTACAATACTGATTTTTGGCCAGCAGATATAACTTGCTTTCTCACTTTAGTACTGGCATTGTCAGTCAAACAACTCTAAAAGGGTGAATGCTACTTTACCCTTTTTCTTATTGTTCCTCTAGCAATATCTTGCTTGGCTGTACCTGCTTAGCCTGTTTAAGAGAGTAAAAAAAATACTCAAAAGGGTAAGTGGGTTAGTTTAATACTGTCAAAGAAACAAGCTCTCAGTTCTAGAAATCTGTTTTGATTCTAGATTGAGTTTCAAGTTATAGAATGATCATCTCCAGAAGCTGGAGGTGCAGAACTCTCAAATCTATAAGCCAAGAGGGCAAATAGATCCTGCCTCTTAAAAGAAGGGTGACATTTCCAAACCACTGCCCATCTATTAGCACAAGCCCTTTGGAGAAAAGAGGAAGTGAATTTTCACAATGTAAATAGGGTTATTTGGAAGAGGAGCACAAGGCCAGTTGAAATGTACAGTAAAATACAGAGATAAGAAACTATTCTTACCAATGCAAGCCAAAAGAGCAATTATTTGAAATGGCATAATGCTATTAATCATCTCATGCAGTACAGCGAGGTTTTTGTTTTCTTGTTTAACTAGCCACTTTGCATTCTCGATACTGCAAAAGTCAGGACTGAAGTAAAGACGGTCAGTTAAGAGCATCTTCCCTGAGAAACAACAAATGTTCATCAACTTTTGTGGGCAAAAACCACTTCTTCAGATGAGTGAGTTTTGCCCACAAAAGTTCATGATACTATATATATTTTTGTTAATCTCTAAGGTGCCACAGGACGACTAGTTGTTTTTGAATATACATACTAACATGGCTACCCCTCTGAGGCTCCCTGAGAAAGTTTTGTCTAAGGACTATCTCTTGTTGTTAATTACAGGTTCATCTTAGTAGGAATTCCATATATCTAACACCACCAGCCTAGACCTTTAAAGGTTATTGGCTAATTAGGTTTACCTTCCCAACGCACCTTGACAGAATGCAATGATGCATCAGTTTGTTCTGCAACTATGATTCCTCGGACACAATTTCATTTCTTTTTTGACAGGACCTAGAAAAGAACACAAAGCAGAGTTTATAAAATGTTCCAACAGACTGTACCTTAGACAGGCAATACACAGTATCATGCACTGACTAATAATCTTTTTTTTTTTGGCTGGTTAAACCTAAAGACAGACTGTTGAAGGCTCCAAAGTGTGCTCATCCTATGAACCGAAAGTAAGCGAGGGGACTCTCCCTTTCATTTCAAAATTGACTGTAATACAAAAATAAGTATTTAAACATTGCTGCACCCATCCCTTCTGTCATCATTGCACTGTCATTTATGTAACACCAGGAACACCAATGACTGGCTGCCTGGATTTTGTTTATTAGGAATTATACACAATTCATATTAGGAATTATATACAATTCACAGTACAGATGACACTAGGTACAGTGATATTAGGAAGCCTTGATTTCTCTATGTACAATTAAGATGGGAAGAAATAGCTCTGCATCCTAAGGCAGAATAAAAACACCACACAAGAATATGGTGAAAAGGGAAGTGTAACTACTTCATACACAATAGCAAGGGAAGCAGATCTGTTGACAGACCAGATGAAAAAGCAAATCCTTATTTATGTTGAGTTTAAAGATATACTACCATTCAACAAGAACATTAAACACAGACTGTCTCGTCTGCCATGAAGGGCATTGGAGACTGCTGCCAGATGAAAGCAGGAGGTACCTCGCCCCGCTCTCATCTGACTGGGAGGGTGGAGCGGGGAAAGGAGATAAAGAGTGAATGCCACGGTGATCTCTAACAATCCAGGAAGAGCTTCTTCAGTTTCATACAGCCCTTCTTAGCAGTGAGAGCAAGACAGGCCAGTCAGAAGTTAGTTGTGCCAGGAAAAGCACATTCAGATCTCTACCATCTTTTGAGCACATCTCAGAGTATCCAGAGGCTCGATAGTCCATTACATTTTTTTTATACACTGACATTGTATTTTCTACCAGCAGAGACCACAACTGGTATAATTTGAACTCCAGAAAGTACTGGGGCAGAAATATATGCAGGTCAGACACAGCGGCTACTTCTAGACTGGCATGATTTTCCGTTAAAAGCATTTGCGGAAAAGAGCGTCTAGATTGGCATGGATGCTTTTGCGCAAAAGAACTTTTTTGCGGAAAAGCATCTATGCCAATCTAGATGCGGTTTTGCCCAAGAAAGCCCCGATCGTCATTTTCGCCATCGGGGCTTTTTTGCGCAAAACAGTTTTTAGCTGTCTACACTGGCCTCTTGCGCAAAAACATTTCCTGAAAAGGGCTTTTGCCCGAACAGGAACGTCAAAGCATTTGCGCAAGAAGCACTGATTTCGGACAGTAGAACGTCGTAGACAGCTGGAAAGTTTTTGCGCAATAGCGGTCGCTTTTGCGGAAAAACTTGCCAGTCTAGACGCAGCCAGCATGTGTATGGGAGCAGTGTATATAGGCATAGTTAATTCTTCTGGATAGCCAGGCATTTTGGATACGCAGAAGTCCACTGTAATGTTGTCTCTAGGACAATACCTATACAGTGTCAGCTTACCACGCCCCAGTGTACCATTATATGAAAATTCTCTTCCAAAACAAGAAAAAAAAATCAAAACATAAAAAAAAAAAAAAATCAAACTTGATGAAAGAAAACAGGGGGTACCGTATAAGTTTCTGTCCTTTTCTTTTTCATAAGTATTAGGGCCAAGAGTGAGATAGACAGATGACAAGACAGACACCCACAGCCCCTTCGCTAATTTGATTAGTTTCCTTTTTAGTGCTAGGCAAAACCAACCCCAAAAAAATATTGTTTCAGATGTACTAAGAATAAAAATGATTATCTATCACATGGTTGTGTATGAAATGTGACACAGCAGAAATACTAAAATTTTGCCATTGGGGAAAACAAATATCAGATAAGGCATTTGCTTTCTAAAAAGTATATAAAACTAGTCATCCCCACTGCACGTGAAAACAGACATCCAACCACTCATTTTGAATACGGTAATGAAACGAACTAAAGCGATGAGTCCTACCCACTTAAATAGATCATAACTGACTGTGCTCCTAAGTCGGTCATTTTCATTTCAGTTTTAATTTGAGCAATGGAATTTAAGTGTAAAGTATTAATATTTACACACGTGGTTAATAGGTAGAAACACACCTAATGTTTTATTGACCACCACCACGTTTTCCACTACTTCATTTCACAAACAGTTCAGCTCAAAGACTGCTGACACTGAGCTGAGGACATTTAAAGAATAAATAACTATCTATTAATTAACAGCTCACTGTATTACTATATGTATCGTAGTAACATTGTTTTCCTTTGCAACAACATCTCAAGTGAAACTAATCTGCATTCAAAGTGTTCTGCAACTATCATTAGTAAGCACTCTTCACTAGGTAGTAAGCAAGGTAGCCATATAAACAGTGAATCAATTTTAATTTTTGATATCTATAAAACCGGGTGGAGATGAAATATTGATCTTTTCTAGTGTACTTGTATTGAAAGTACCAAATTTATCCCCTAATCACCACAAATTAACTTCTACTATTTCTCTTAAAATAAACAAGGATTATGAGCATTATATGAACATAAATGTATAGCTGCAACCTAAGCTTTGACATTCTACCTTGAAAAATTACACAATTAAGTACTCAAATTCTGTTTTAAGGTGGTATTGGGAATGGGACAGAAAATTGGATATCAAACTGTTACAATAAAGTGTATATCATTTGATTTTTTTTTAAATTAAAGGTTCTAGTTTTACAAAATTTAGAGCTTGATCCTAGAAACCCTGACTTGACTACTTTTATTAAATAACTATTCATGTTAGAAAGGACTACTTGTGCTTGCAAAGGTCTGTTAAGATCAGATTCTAACTTACTGTACTTCAGAACATCAGTAAAATTCCCAGGATCCCGTTTTTTCTTAAAAACTGCAGAATGGAAGAACTTCTTCATTCCACTTTTTTCACCATTATCCCATCCAGTTTTAAATAAGGTAAGAATCTGGAACCTGAATTCCTAAAATGAATGTTTGTTAAGAACAGAAAGAAAAAGTATGGGTTTTTGTTGTGATATTTTTGTCAGATTCATTAAAGTATAATAAACATGCAGTAATTTAATTATATTCTTCACATTTGGATCACTTTGCTTAAAGCCTACCAAAGACGGATTCCCTCTTACGTTCCGTAAGTCTTCACTGTATTAGCATTTCACTGTTTTACTAGGTTACTATCAAAATGGTCTCTTTTTGGATTACTAAATATTCATAAAAATAGTGAGCAATGCAGTTCGTTTGATTTCTTCAGATCATACTGAAACCAGACAGATATTGGTACACCTACGTATGTCTATGTAACAGTGCATTAAAAAAAATATATTTACTTTGCACTTTTGTTGTTCTCCCTTTGGAAAGTTATTTTTCTATACACTGAAAAATTGCTTTTACCTATCTGATATATTAATGAAGTAAAAACACACACAAATTACACACATTGCGCTTCTCACTGTATACAGGCAGAAAGACTGTAACTCATCTAACCAAAACATAATTTAGAAGTTCACAAGTGCGCCAGAATTTTCATATTTCCTACGTGAAACAGGTCTGTAAAAAACTGTTAAATTGGGATTTTTTTGTTTCTTCCTTCATTTCAATTTTTTGGCACTTTAGACATTACATGATGATATACTTTATTTACATTAATGTATTTATATTTTATGAAAATACAGTATCTTTCATCACCACTAATAAATTGCTTTAAATAACTAAAATTTCCAGAATTAAAGTAAGTTGAATATGGAAAATAATATTATACCAAATTAGATACGAAATGTATACATATAAATTACATTAGATATTTCTACACGAAAATGGTATCTCAAGACATACAATAATATTTTAAAACTAAATTTTAATACAGTAAACATTAAATAATTACTAGTTGGACGTTATGAGAAAATCAATTTTTTTCACAACTGAATTTGGGGAGGGGAGTGGGAGGCTGAGATCTAGAAATTAAATTGTCAATTTTCCCATTTGCAGTCTGTCAAAACAAAAATTAACAGAATCACAGAGTTTATCCCACAAGATACAATAGTTTTAAAACACTATATAATTCAGTTCTAAGCACGTTAAAAGCTTTCAGAAGCAGAACTGTACCATGTACATTAAATTTTCAATCCTGAGTTCAATTTATTAATAAATACTTTGGTATCTGTTGACAAGCGATGAAAAATTGCTGACGTTCCTCCTTAATAAAACAAAACTCGAAAAAGACTTTTTTTTTTTGCAAAAACAAACCCCTCTCTCCCCCCCCCCTAAAAAAAAAACGAATTACGATGTATATTCCGGGTAACATATACCCCGACGAGTTACGGGGCTACTTTACGAAAGCGCTTGGTTTTAAAATGTTTCCGTTCAAACTCGCACCGAAAACAAAAGTCGAATTGAAAATGCCCTAGGTGGAACGTGTCCACACGCGGCCGAGTTACACTCCCAATCCCTGTTGCAACTTTGCAACTGCTTGGATTGAATTAACTCGTCCCGTTTTTTAACCCTTCCCCTCCCGGCCAGCAGCTTTTTAGCGGCCTGTAGCCTTGACCCTCTTCCCTCCCCGCCTCGCTGGGGGACGGCTGCCCGTGTCCCCCTCCCGCTTGCCAGGGCAGGCAGGTTACAGTGTCTCCTGTCACTTCTCAACTGCGTCATTAGTTGATACAATAGCGAGGGCATCGATCGCAGGCCGAGTGTCAGCAATCGCACCGGGGGGCTGGGCAAGCCGTGCGGGGTGGGAGCGAGGAAATGTGCAGCGGGGGGGACGGGAGGAGGGGGGCACAAGAAGCCCAGGCTGGCGGCGCTGGGTGTGAGCGGGGCAGCGTGCAAGGGGGGAGCACAAGCAGGGCTGGGTGTGAGCGGGGCAGCGTGCAAGGCGGGAGCACAAGCAGGGCTGGGTGTGAGCGAGGTAGTGTGCAAGGGGGATTGCACTTTTACCCTTTGTCACCCTGGGATTTTTGCACGGCACGCGCCTGATTTTTGTTAAAAAGCTCTCCGCCCCCCGCC